AAAAAAAAAAAAAAAAGTCAGATCATATTCGTAGTAATGATATAACAACTCAGGGTAAGCCTGAGAAGTTATCAGTAGATTTTTTGACTCAAAGAAGTGGCTGCAAAGATTCATAGTATGCACAAATAAATGCAGCATTAACAATTTTAGGAGCAAATCAAGCTTTGTTTTGAAGTCTATAATATCATCAATTCATTATAGTAGTACGTATTTAACACTATACTGTTTATCAGCGACCATTTATTATATTCAAATATAAGGAATTGCTAAGGCATATGAACCAACTCATATATTTAAAGGCATATATATATATATATATAAAGAGAGCATGAATACCTTGAATTCTCTACATTATGTACTAGAATAGGGATAAACTGGTAGAAAATTAATGTGGTAGTTGACACAGCCTTGGGATATTATTCATGTCTCTAGCCTTTTAGATATTAAAAACTACTTCAAGAATTAATAATCAGAGAATAGAACACATATTGATGAGATACAACCTCTTGGTTAAAAAAAGTAAGAATATGCCAGTATCAAAGTATTACCCCTCAGAGGGGTTATTTTCCTTATGCTTTCCGTAATGAGTGAGGCAGGAGTTGGTGGGATATAGACAGCCATTAGAACTCGTGGCCCCACTAAAGGGAAGTCAGGAGGGGACCAGGGCCAAGGCCTCACAGTAAACAAGGGGCCACTTCCTGAACATCCGGGGAATTCAGCGTGAAAAGCAAAGGGGTCTTCCTAGCAACAAGCCCCTGCCGATCCTGTAAACTTCTTTCTTTTTGGCTTACAAACCCTAGACACTGCAGGTCTAACAGCCTCCGCTCTTGGGGCTCCTCCCATTTAGAGGGAATCTTTTTCTTTCCTTGTCACTCCTCTTTAAAAACTTTGCTGGTTGCTTTGCTCCATACTCTTGTCTGCTGGCTTCATTTTTTATTGCCTCCAAGATGCGATCCTGGGAAAAACAGCATCTCAAGTATTAACATTAGGAAAATACAGGCTGATACTTGATGTTAGTGTCCTAATGACTGAGTTCTGGCATTGTTTGGTGGTAGGATAAAACAATTTGTGCTTTTTGCACTTCAGCTTTGAAGAACAATCTTTTGAAAAGTAAGACTACATCGATTTATTAGGAATGTCAATCCTGGTTTCTGTAGGATAAACTCCCCTTAGATAGTATGCCTCACAAGGGCGTAAGCC